GCCTCTACTTCAACACTTCCGATTAACTTCTTAAAGAGAGCTCAGTGCCTAAAATGCTGAGCTCTTTAAAATCTGTCCTTTTTTGCCTGTAGGTGGGGGGCAGGTGGGGAGAAGGGGCTGGATGCGTAGATATACTTCATTACATGTCAAGCACAAGTTGTGGGAAGCAGTTTCAAATGCATAGCAAATGAAGGAATGAAAATTATTACAATAAGAGCTGGGTGAACAAATTGTGGTGAATAATTCATTGCAAATTATATTAACTGAACAATCACTCAAATGAATTTTCCATTATTCTGCTTGCTCTGCCTATCATTGAACCTCTCACACACCAAGATGGTGTACATTAATCTTCAGTTTATATTTTATCATTCACATCTGTGCTGTGTTAAATGGAAAAAGCTCCACAACAGCTGTGAAAATACATCATAGGTTTTAAGTCACCCTCCATCACATGTCCTGGGGCAGCCTCAGACAGATTCTCCTCCCCAAACACACAAACCCACTTCTCAGGAGCTCCCTCTCCTCCCAAGCATGTCCAAGCCTCACCTATTCTCTCCAAAACCTGTAAATCACAGGGGAAGAAAAAAACCCACCACTGCAAAGGTGGAAAATTCAATGCAGGGTAATCAGCGCTCTCACCTGAAGAAATATTACAGTGCTATCGTTTGTCATCGATGTTACTTTCCACTGAGTTTACACTAGAAACAGCTCTTCCAGAAAAGTTCCTAGACCAGATGAAGACTTTTCTATGGACAAAAAAATACCTTTGTCAGTGCAGTTCCTCTTACGTCAACAAGCTACACCACAAAATTCTGGATAATATTACACTCCCATCTATACCCAGCATTTGCATACCTCAAGTATTAATAACTCATAAGAGAAAAAGCCAACTGAAACTGATACGGATACCAGGGAGGGGGAAAAAAAAAACCCAAACACACACCTTTTGGATAGGAGTTCCTGATTCCTCTCAAAAATATATAGTGAAACTGTCCATACTGGCAAGCAGGCTTACCTGTGTGCTCCAAGTTTACATACACACACAGGCCATTAGATTTTAAAAATCCAGGTCTATCTTGATCCTCTGCACTCAACAATTTCTTTTTGAAAATACAGAAACTCTTCTAGTTCATTTTCTGGTTCTCAGGCCGCCTTTAAAAGCTGTTATTTCACTGTGGTCTCTAGAGCAGTAGAATAATTCTTGTATGTTTCTACCTGATTTCACTGAATAAAATGAAGAGAAGTTTCCCTTGGATTGATAAGATTCATGCTTTTACACGTTGCTTCTAGTTACTTCCACCCAAACATGGCTTTAATTAAAAACCCAGTGTAGTGGAAGAAACTCTTCCCAGCATTACTGGTAGCGAGATACTGGTGGTGTCTGTGCCACATAGGTGTGTTGGCAAAGGTCTAGAAATACTGATCCCCAGCCTGCCAGGCGCGGCCCTATGGACGGGCTGAGCTATCTCAAAGCAACATTTTTACCGCTATGGTTTTGCAGGGATATTTATTACACAGGAGAAACATTGCCAAGAAAACAGCATGGAAGCTATGAGCGCTCTGCCAGCAAAGCATCCCGCTTCCTAACACAGCATACTATGATAGTCATGTTTAAGAGCAGTAACAGGATGAACTCAGCCTTATCCTCCACTCCCTGCAATGTACAACTGATAGCTCATCCTAGTCCATTGATAAACTCTGCAGCACCCTAAAGCTTCTTGAAAGACAAAAAAAAAAACCCACAGAAAACCAAACCTCATAGTCAGACAG